TGGAGAAACATTTTTTTAGAGGCAGGAAGCAGACTCACTGTTAATACCCTGCAGCAAATATGTTGTCACCATTAAGGGAGACTGGGCCAGCCTATCTACAAAACAAAAGCCCTTCAGCTCCAGGATAATGGGATTATCCTTCAGGACATAATAGGATTAACCCACTATCATTCAGCAGAAGACACAGAACTCACTATGTTGCACAATTTCCCAAGGGTATTTCCTTCATCGCATTACCCCCAACAAACATCAACCAAACCTAGGAGCTTAGACAACCTATAGAGCCAGGTACGACAGCTACATAACCCTTACAACACCCAATAGAATACATGTTCTTGCACAGGAAAAGAACTCAAGGGCAAAGCCCCAAAGAATATATTTTTTAAAAAAACCCATTCTCAACTCCATGTGGCCAGCTGCCCACAACCACTTGTGGTTCTGCTTCATTATTAAACCATCTTTCCATTCAACCTCCATGTTTCCAGTGTCTTTTTCCCAAATTGGAACTGAACCAGATGGATATTTCTTCCAACAATAGATTCTATTACATTCCATTCTAATTATTATTTTTTGCATGTGAATCAGTGATGACTCCTGGTACCTATTGGGATGAGTCCCTACAGTTTTCTTGGCTAACTTGGAATTTAGAATGTACAGTTTTTAAGACACAGTTGTCTTTGTATCTGCAGAACAAAACATTAAGCACTTTGACTTTACACATTCTAAATGTTTGTGAACCACTGTAACTACATAGCCAAAAAGGCATTAAGAGTTGTTAACCTAATACTGTGTAGCTTTTTCTCCGGTAATATCACACTACTAACTAGAGCATACAAAACATTTGCTAGACCAATACTCGAATACAGCTCATCAGTCTGGAACCCACATTGCATATCTGATATTAACACAGTTGAGAACGTCCAGAAATATTTCACAAGAAGAGTTCTACACTCCTCTACTCATTGCAGAATACCTTATGCCACCAGACTTGAAATTTTAGACCTAGACAACCTAGAACTATGCCCCATTCGGTCTGATCTAAGTATAGTACATAAAATTATATATTGCAATGTCCTCCCTGTCAATGAATACTTCAGCTTCAACCATAACAATACAAGAGCACACAATAGATACAAACTCAAGGTAAACCACACCAAACTTGATTACAGGAAATATGACTTCAGCAACAGAGTGGTCAATGTCTGGAATACTGACTCTGACTCTGTGGTTTCTTCCCCAAACCCCAAAAACTTTAACCTTAGACTGTCTACTATTGACCTCACCCCTTTCCTAAGAGGTCTGTAGGGGGCATGCATAAGTGCACCAACGTGCCTACCATCCCTGTCCTATTTTTTTTCTTATATGTATCCATTTCATATATTCATAACTATGTTTATACTTATACCTGTTATCTTATAATCGCTTGACAAAATAAAATAAAATAAAAAAATAAAAAACTTACAACAGTTCATTTGGTCAATGTTCGAAGTTACTAGAGCATTGAAAAAATTGACCTAAGACTGTTTTTCACACTTATGACCATTGAAGCATACCCATGGTGCCATGGTCAAAATTCAGACACTTAGTAACTGATTGATATTTATGATGGTGCAGTCTCCTGGGGTCATGTGATCACTTTTTATGACTTTCTGACAAGCAAATCAAATACCTAATTTCCATCAAAGGCTGTTTGGGTTCACAGGTAAAGATCTGAAAGATGGAGCTTCATAGAAGATGATGATGGGAAATAAATGCCAAGATATTTAAAATCCTAGATTTGCACAGTTTGATAGTTAGGGATCTTCCAGAAATGGGAATGTTTAGCATGCTGTTTGGTTTTTATGTGGTTGCATTCTAGTGTTTCAGATTGGTGGTAGGGTATCAATTTATGAAGGCTGCATTTGAAAACAAACAAAAACCAGTGTGGTAAGGGTACAGCAAAGGTTTACTAGCCTCAGAACAAAGGACAAAAATCAGGTTTGGTAAGGCCTTGAACCATACTATTAATTTAAAAATTAAATAATCTTTTTTAACTCATTTTAAAAAAATGGGTCAACCAGTCCTCTACTAACTGAGCTTTGGACCTATTTGTAGTCTCTGCATACAAGATCTTAACTAGTTATAGGATTCAGTGGTCAATGAAGGAAGAAATTCTTTTTTACCACTTTCAATCAAATACTAATTTCAGATTATGAAAGCAACACACAGCACCTCCAGGAGGGTTAGTAAATTTGTAGGCAGGTGGTGCAGTGATGTAGTGACCCAGAGTAGAAACACCTGGCCTTAACCAGGTTTGCTCCATTGCTAAAGCAATAAAAATGATGTTTACTTTAATTACAGTAACCGTAGACTTATGACCATAATTGAATCCAAAATTTATGTTGTTAAGTGACACATATGTTAAGTGACACATATGTTAAGTGAATTTTGCCCCATTTTACGATCTTTCTTACCACAGTTGTTAAGTGAATCATTGCAATTGATGAGTGAGTAACATGGTTATGAAGTGAATCTGGCTTCTCCATTGACTTTGCTTACCAGAGGTTTGCAAAAGCTGATCACAGACCCCAGGACACAGCAACTGTCATAAATATGAGCCAGTTGCCAAGCATCTGAATTTTGATCATGTGACCATAGGTCAGAAGTGTGAAAAATAATCATATGTCCTTTTTTTCAGTGCTATTGTAATTTTGAATAGTCACGAAATGAACTGTGGTAAGTCGAGGACTACCTATATGCATAATCAGCTGATGGGATAGTTATTTCCTTGATTGGAGCTGGATTGGTTTTGTTGCTTTTGGGGGCGCTTATAATAGAATTGATTAAATTCCTTTCGGATTTGCAATGAGTTTTTAATATTAGTGAATAAAGATTATGGGAAGCCCACCCCCCACCCCTCCTAGAAGAATGAAATATTTTGAGAAATATCAGGGAGGTCGAATGTTATATTTCCCTAGATGAGAAATGGGGAAACATGTTCTTTTTAAAGACAGGAAGCAGCCTCCAAGTCTTCCTGCCTCCCAAGCAGAAACTGAGGAGGCAGCTTTTAGAAATGCAGATTTGGTAATCCATTCAACATAGGATATTTTAAAATTCCCTGCAGCAAAATCTGAACAAAAACAAAAGGGTACAGCCCCTCTTCAAAATCCAAAACAGGACCAAAGCCATTAAGATACAATCGAAATTGCCCAACTCCCTTTCAGAACGCAAGCCCCTTCATTGCATCACCCCAGAGCAGTCCAAACTTCACCTGGGAGCTCAGATAAATAGTAAGCCAGAGGTTAACCAGATTAGCTCAGACAAGCACTTAGGATTTGCATTTCCTCTTTTGCCCTTAGAGCCAGCTATGACCCCTACATAACCCCTATATGACTAAAATATTAAAGGACATGCTCTTGCACAGGAACAGGAAGCTCAAATAAAGAGCCCCAAAGAAGGCATAAAAGCCACCCAGTCTCAATTCAATTTTGTCAGCTGCACCAGAACCACACTGGTGGTTCTGTTCATCATTAAACCATCTTTTCAATCAGCCTCATGTTTCCAATGTCTTTCTGCCAGCTTGGAACTGAACCACATGGATATTTCTTTCAACAAGAGTAAAACAGTAGTCCACCAATCAAGGTTTTGTTTCAGTATTTGTGGAAGGATCAAGTCCCCTCCAAGAATATCTTTTTTTATTTTTCCTTTTCTTTTATTTGCAATTTGGTGCAGGAGTAGTAGCATTTCTTATCACATTGCTTTCCTGGTTACTTTTAATTCCTAAATATCTTTTTGCTGCCTAAAGTCCCTGATTATTCATCTTTCATGTCTCCTTAATATGACTAGATGGACCCTGGGGAAAAATAGAAGAAACACGCTCAATTAAACTCACATTAAGCAAGACTTGTACAGTTTCTAAACAATGGAAGATTGATGATCTTCCACCTTGGAGCTACAAGTCATTCATTGGACATCTTGTATCTATCTTTCTCTATATAATTAATATGATCTTCTTCAATTAACAGAAGCCAGACTTGGGCCCTCTTGTTCACCAGATGTTTGAGGTTCATCGAACTGCTCTAGAACTCCTAACTTATCCAAGTCTTCCCTAGGTGCACAACTGCAAAAGGAAATGGTGGTTAGAGGCAGGCACTGTAGCCTCAATCTATTTAAATCTCATTTTGATCCATGAAAAGTTGATAGAATGAACATTCATCCAGAAAAACCAGAATGGTCTCATCAACTGGTACTTAAAGTCACTGTGTGTCTCTCATTCATTCCAGATCATGGAAATACTGTTCTGTAGAAAGAGATCATGATGCAAATTGGAAGTTAGCATCTATTGGGTCTTCTGAATTTATTTTGATTTGCAAGTATTATTTTTTGGCCAGAGATTTCACTGTTCTTTGCTACTGAGGAAAAGACAGAGGAGCAGCTGGAAAAAACTTTTGAATTTACCAATTTTTTGTTAGTGACCACTACACATAATGTACAAAGACAATTCCCAATGTCTGATTGTTTCAGAAACAATTTGTAGTCCCTCCCTATTTGACTGAAAGGCTCCTTTATATTTAATCTCCACTTCCTTTTTACACATTCTAGTGTGCACATGATTTGAGGTGACTAGAAAAGACAAATTTATAATTTACATGAAATCTATATTTGGTGGAAGGCTATTACTCACAGAAAAATAGTAACCAATAAATTAAGAAGGAACAAATCTCATTGGTTAATAAAGAGAACTAATAACTCCTCCATATAGTCTCTCTATATCCACTACTCCCATACTGAAAGATGACAATAAAACTGTCACTATTATTTACACTTTATAAGGGCCTATTTATATTTGACTTTCAGAAGGGAAAAAAAAACCTCAGAGCTATCCAAATCTCAAAGGACACAGCTTTCATTTCAACATAGAAAGCCAATCCACTGCACATTGTTTTCTGGTTTAAATGTGCAAGTGAGGAATACCTCCAACATTTACATATAAAGGATATCAGGTAAATAGACAGGTTTCTCTAAAACTTTCTTTTTATGAGCTGATGTTTATTGTTCAGTTCCGGTCTTATCACAATAATAAAACACTTGGGAAGAAAGATACACATTAATAAGCCAGCACTGGAAGAAATCATAGAAAATATCTCCACAGCCAACATATATTTTCCCCTTGTGCTTAGATAGGTTGGAATAAAACACAGCCAAACACTGCAGAAGACCAACATGCTGAAGGTGATGAATTTGGCTTCATTGAAACTGTCAGGTAAATTCCTAGCCAGAAAAGCAGCAGAGAAGCTAACCAGAGCAAGAAAACCCATAAAGCCCAAAACACAGTAGAACATGACTGAGTCTTCATTGCACTCTATGATTACTTCTTCAGACATTGACTGTGTATCAAAATCTGGATATGGTGGGGATGTTATCAGCCACACAGAACAAAAACTTATTTGAACAAAGGAGCAGGATAGAATAATGAAACTGACTATTCTCCCCCCCACCCATTTCCTTAATCTGGAACCAGGTTTGGTGGCCATGAATGCTAGAACCACAACAAAGGTTTTGGCCAATACACAAGAAATTGCTATAGAAAAGATGAGGCCAAAAGCTGATTGTCGAAGAAGACATACAATCTTATCAGGTCTTCCAATAAATAGAAACACACAAAGGAAAGAGAGGAGGAGGGAAACTAAGAGAGTATAGGTGAGATTCCTGTTGTTGGCTTTGATGATGGGAGTGTCTTTATATTTCATGAAAATTGTGATGACCAAGGTTGTCATTAAAGAAAAACAAAGTGAAAGAACCATCAAACTGATCCCCAAGGGTTCTTCAAAGGACAAAAAGGTGATGCGCTTTGGAATGCACATACTTTTGTCAGGATTTGGATATTGATCCTCTGGACATGGAGAGCAGTTATCCATGTCTGAAAAAGAACACAATAGAGAAGATAAAGTCGGTTATACACAGGGCTGCACCCAGTGGCTTAGTCCTATTACATTTGAAAAGTTCCTACCTTTCTTCTTTGATATTTTCCCTTCTGGACACAGAAGGCAACCATAGCAGCAAAATGACTCCCCTTCTTTCTTGACCTTGCTGTATCCTGCCTCACAGGGATCATTACACAAAGACAAAGGTTGTACCTATTCACAAATAAAGAATAATATTTTAAGATACAGATAGCAAAATAAGTTCTTGGAGTGATTCTGTTACTGGGGAATCAGCAGATTAAGCAATACATTGCCAACATTCCCATGTAAACCAGATGGAAAACATGACCAGATGAGCTAATTTCACATTATTGAAGAGCTACTTTATCAGAAAATATGATTTCCCCACTTTTGTGTTGCAACCTGAAAAGTGTGAAAAATTCTAAATGATAGATAGATAGAAATGTAGCTTGAAACAAAGATATATAGAAACATAGATAAATAGAAAGACGATAGACAGACAAACAGACAGACAGACAGACAGATAAATGTAGGCAGACAAATATAGATTCATACATCTAACCTGATTAAAGTCTACTGGCCATGTGATAATATCCACAGAGATGCTGAAGAATTTGTCTGGAGCAGCTATAGGATCTATTGCTCCAACTTTGATTCTAAGAAAGGACTGATTGGGGAATGTGATCCAGTTGATAATATCAAATCCACCAATGATTTTCCCATTTTTATCAAAGGAAATCCTTTCTCCAACATTGTTATTGAATGAGATACTTCTCAGAAAGGAATGAAGCTACAATATAGGGAAGGAGGGAGGTAGGGAAGAAGGATGGATGGATAGATTTTTTCTTTTTGGCTTTTATTCCAGTTTGTAGACCACAGCATCAAACAGATAATATAGCAATGTCACCAAAATAAAGGTAAAATACAATATTTCTTAAATAAAAGTAAAAGTTATAAAAATAGAAATACATAATGCAAAATTGTAAAACCAAATGTATATGAATCTACTTTCAATACTATAAGTATTTAACAGATAACTATAGACAAATGTAAAAGGAACAATTGAATTTCAAAAGGGCAAAAATAGGAACACTATAGAGGGAACCTATTTTAGGGGTGATATTGCACCTGTAACATCCATAAAGCACAGATTGTTCCACTCTTAATCATTGTCAACAAGTCACCATTTAAACACTAAGTTGAAGTGTGACAAATAGTCAATTACCTAATGATTGATTTATTCTTTGAAATTAACAGGCCTGGAAAAGGGAGAATTATAACAATTTATGTGTCTTTCTTGAGTAAGAGGATCACATTGTTATTATCAGTCCTTTTTCTCCCATTCAAGGTTTGGTTGAGAACAACCTAATCTAGAAACCTGCTGATATGAAGGTATTTTGAACAATCAAACAGATGTGGCTTACTGTTTATTTTATTTTTAATCTGTGACTGAAACTTATGGTATGTTAGATTTCTAAGAAATTGAGCATATAGTATTAATGTCAATGTAAACTCTCCATGCAAAGCATCTACAATAAAGGGCTGCTAAGCACATCAGTTATAGGTAGTGGACATTTGTAATTTTAATATGAGAATGTAAATGTTTGAATAGATTAATCCATTACTATATTTCAATTCTAGACCTAATGTTAATACCCTTGGAAAAATGGTTTGTTAGATTTTATGGACAGCTGTTGCAACTACAGATAGGGAAACATTTTGCGTTTATCTGCTTAAGATCTTACCTGCCACCACAACTTGTTATTCTGAAACTTTTCCTTTCTATCTTTTGCAATTCTTTTCCCCCTGGATTTGAATAAATACAATGATTGCAAAGCATGTGCCACAGCATAGACTGCATTGTAAATATTGTAGCTCTGGCCACCCATGTGTGTTTCAAACACAGATGTGGGAAGGGTCTCAAGCTTCTCCTGTCCAGTACATTTCTTCTCAGAGGTTTCAGTTTTTGAGTATGAGAAGAAACAATTGAATGCCTGTTCCCAGAAATCTTTCTGGAAATGATCTTGAAGATTGTTGTTTGGAATAAAGTTCTGAAGAAATTCCTGGAAGTCTTGGACATCCTTTGTATGAACTGCAAAGGATAAAGCACCATGTAGGAAATGGATGCCCCAAGATTTTTGAAAGGAATTGGAAGTATAATCTGTCTGAGCTGTTGTAACCAAGATTTTTGTCTTCTTTGGTATATCCTCTACTTCTGACAATTGGAGGTATGTTCTCAAAAGTGATATAGATTCAATTTCACCATATAAAACTATGACGTTGGCTGTGCTGTTCATGAGAACTTGATATATATGGACTCCTTCACTCACTTGATCATTAAAATCAATGTAAAAGTCTACCTTAGGGAATTTTTGTATGAAATCAAAGCAGATGCCATGCTGGGAAAATGTGGGGAGCACCTCCTGGACAAATTCCTCTCCCTTGTCATCATTCACAACAAGAACTCCAATCCAGATCCATCTAAAATATAGCAATAACTGGAGGAGACCCTTATGTTGGTGAGATTCATCTGGAAACATTTGTTGGAAGAAAGCCCCTTGAGTCTCTTTATCCATGACTGGGGCAGAGCCATAGGTCAACTAAAGGAAGCAAAAACAAAAGCAGAGTTCTATATGAACCTCTGGAAATGCATTGAATATTTCTGCAGGTTTTTGAGCTTGTATACTGAAATTGTCCAAATTGTGTTCATTTCCAAATAGCTACCCTGGTTTCAGTCTTAGCAGTTAAAAAGTATTTTGGGGTTTGGGTGTGTCCATAAGAACTATTATTGTGTGGTTGTTTTTTTTAAGGAATGGAAAAGGACTATTCTAGAAAAGGAAAGAATAGGCTCAAAGCTTAATTCAGTTCTGCAATTGGTGGATATTTAGCTAGAATAGAATAGAATAGAATAGAATAGAATAGAATAGAATAGAATAATCAGAAAAAGGAGAATTGTGTTGCTTTGGATTGAAATGAGGGCTCCTTGGTGATCTCTGAGCTTGGTTGTTTTCTTGTAGATGTTTCATTACCAAATTACACTAGCACTGATGATGTTACTTAGTTTGAGTAATGAAATGTCTGCAACAAAGCAATTATGCTCAGAGAGCACCAAGGAGCCCTCAATACTTTCAAACATACATGCTGGTTTTTGTGATTTATCATTATTCTGCTTATCCATTCAAGGAGAAATGAACATCAAATAATTCCCTTTAATATTTTCTAATTAGTTTGGATATACTATTGTCCTACCCATGAAAGACCAAACAACCTAATTTCACTAGTTTTTCAGTACCACCACCCACAAAGAACCTTTGTATTTTACTTCCTCCTTCAGTCATGAATGCATACCTTAGCTTTTACCTTTCTTTGGAGTTTGAAATTAAATTATTTTTCCCAAGCTAAATATATATATAACATTTTGTACTTTTGCTATTAACCCAAGCATTTGGCTTCTCTAATGCCGTGCCTTCATCTGTGTCCATTAATATTCACTGAATTATAACAAATAGATGCTTGTGTACCATCTGAATTCAATTTTTCAACATGAAATATCAGTCACCTTTTAAGCTTCTGTTCTGAGTATCTATCAAAAAGTTGAATGTTGTCTGAACTGTTCTTTGTCATAAAAGCAAAACATTCTAGGCTTGTTCAAGAAGTATTATAGAAGTGTTATGTAACTTCCATACAACTTACCTGTGGAACTTTATAGATAAACAGAACAGTTGCCATATAGAGACAGATGTCAGGTCCTCCAATGACTGCAGCTAAAGAGTTTGGGACCCCACACTTGTAGTTAGGGATGAATCTGCCCTGGGTGAAGAGAAGCACCATTGAGGCAAGGTAAGTCCAACTTGGACTGAAATTGCTATTATAAAGGTGGAAACCCAGAGAGACATTGAGTAGGATCTGGGTATTTTCATTGATCTCTTTGATAGCAAATGCTAAGGCAAGGATGTGCTGATAATTCTGAAAGGATACTCTGTAACAAATGTCACATAATATATTAAGAAGAGACTGGTTTGGAATATGGGATCTGCAATCTTTCAGTACAATATTTTGTTGAAGGTAATTTAATGCAATAAAATTACTCTTCTGCTAGGATTAAGGAAAATGCTCAGGAAAAAAATGTAGTGCATATATATTACTCTGTAACCTGTGTTATTTTATTTAAAAAGAGCAAAACAAGGCAAACAAGGCAATGGTTAGATGTTGGAAGCATTATTTTGTCATAAATGTACCTAGGAATTCAACCACCTAGGAATCAATATCACGTAAAGTACCAATTTATAAACCAACACCTGAAATACTGCATCCGGAGTTTGGTCACCAAATTGCAAAAAAGATATTGAGGCTTTGGAAAAAGTGCAGAGTCTAACAACTAAGGCCTTGAGACAAAAACATATGAACAATGGTTGCAGGGACTAGGTATGGCCAGTTTAGAGAAAAGAAGGACTAGGGGTGACATGATAGCAGTATTCCAGTATCTGAGGGGCTGCCACAAAGAAGAGGGGTCAATTTATTTTCCAAAGCAGCAGAACAACATGGAAACTAATCAAGGAGAGAAGCAACCTGGAATAAAGAAAAACTTCCTAACACTGAGAACAATTAACCAATTAACCATTGGGTTATCATTATAGTCAAATGAAAGTAGCTGTATTTTGTTACTAGTAAAATCAATTGAAAAATGGTAATAACTTCTCATATAGATTGCCCAGTTTTTATTGGTAATTATATTTTCATAAATTATTTTGGATTCTCATTCTATATTTAGAAATAATTTGAGATCACTAGTATTAAGGGAACTTTAGCTTTTTTTGATTGATTGATTAAATTTTTATGCTATCTCACTAAGGGACTGTGATTGTCTTACAAGTAAAACATTTTTATCCACCTCAGGTGGAAGCTGAACATTGAATAGCTTGAATATACATCAAGATATTATTTTATAAAAGGAATGGTTCAGGTCTTCTTCTTCTTTTTATTATGACTTTCAAGAAAATATTTTGAGCAAATTTGTGAATGAACAGCAAGACATGGGGCTTGGTTATTATTAAAAATGTACTTACATAAGTCCATCTTGAAGTTCCTGAGATGGATGATGGATAAAAGAAATGGAATTGGAAAATGTTGAAAATACAGAAATAATACCAGCAATGTTAATATCTCCAAGGTGTTGATATGTGTGACGAATAGGAAGTGGATCATCGAAGTCACATTGAAGGCTATGATCCTTGCACATCACCTGAGGCACTATTATTAACAATAACACCATGAATATTAACATCTTCCATGAATGCCTTCTTTCCGTGTACAAATGCCTCTGTCTGAAACAAGATCTTTGAAGTAGATCAGACTGACCTCTCTTCCTGAGATATTTTTCAGATAAAACTAGAGACTGCAACATACTATCAAAACAACTCACAAAGCATTGGGGCTCTCAGCCATGGGTTGGAATATCATGGGGACAATAAATACCATTATTCAATGTCAGTTGCTCTATTTCATGGAGTCCCATAGGATTTGGAAGAGACAAACTAGTTAATTTATTAATGATAGCGAGACAGTCACATATGTGAATATCTTCAAAACATATGAGGGCCTCCAGAGGCAGGAACGCATGAGCCACAAGAAAAAAAATAAATTCAATTCAATTGAAAAATGAACAAATATTTTTTGGGGGAAATAAAAATAAAAAAGTACAATAACATGGTTGCATATTTTTTGAAACACCCTTTGATTTTATGATAACATTCAGTCTTTTTCATAGGAGCCTATCAACACAGCATATCTTGCCTTGGGAATTTTTGCCCACTCTTAGCCAAAGCACTCCAAATCTGTCATATTATTTTTTAACTTTATTTTGTCAAGCATGTATTAGATAACATGATTATGAATACATGAAATGGATACAAATAAAAGGGAGCATTAGGACAGGGACTGTAGACACGCTGGTGCACTTATGCTCACTCCTTACAGACCTCTTAGGAATAGAGTGAGGTAGACAACAGTAGACAATCTTAGGGTTAACATTTTTGTGGTTTGGGGAAGAAACCAGAGAGTCATGTAGTATATTCCAGACATTGACCACTCTGTTGCTGAAGGCGTATTTCCTGCAATCGAATTTGGTGCGGTTTACTTTGAGTTTGTATCTATTGTGTGCTCATGTATTGTTGTGGTTGAAGCTGAAGTAATCATTGATAGGTAGGACATTGTAATGGATAATTTTATGTACTATGCTTAGGTCGGACCAAAGGCAGCATAGTTCTAAGTTGTCTAAGCCTAAAATTTGAAGGTGGGGAATTTCTTAGGTGGGGAAAATGTGTATCTGGTAAGTGATAAGGAAGAAGAACTGCCTTCTGCACTGATCTAAGAACATCTATGGCAGGGAAAGTCAGCCTAATTACTTGTGAGGAGGCAGTCTCATTTCACTTAATAAGCTGTGCCAGAAGCTGCTATTTAGCACAGCAGACAGATGGAGATAATGCTGGGAACAATGTATTCATTTCAGTGGTGGGATTCAGCCAGTTTGCACCACTTCAAGAGAACCAGTTAAATTTCTGAGCAGTTTGGTGAACTGGTTGTTGGAAGAAATCATTAGGGCAGAGAACTGGTTGTTACATTATCTGAATCCCACCACTGGTTCATTTCCTAGCTGCATGTTTCCTGGTTATTGTTGTCCCTACCTTACTTTGGATTGACATGTGCCTTGTGAACTCTCTTGTATTTGGATTTAATTTTGCCTGGAGGGTTTATCTTGTTTCGGAAACTTTTAAATTTTTTATTAGTTTATAATATAAAATACAAACATACTTTCCATCTTGCTATGAGTGCATTGCCTTCATTTATTTATAGAATAGAATAGAATAGAATAGAATAGAATAGAATAGAATAGAATAGAATAGAATAGAATAGAATAGAATAGAAATGGGAAAAGCATAGCATAGTAAATGGAAATAAAAATGGAACAGAATAGAATAGAGTAGAGTAGAGAATGGGAATAGCATAGCTTAGCATAGCAAATGGAAATAAAAATGGAACAGAACAGAACAGAACAAGATATAATAGAATTGCATAGCACAAGGAATGGAATGGAATGGAACGGAATGGAACAGAACAGAATAGAACAGAATAGAACAGAATAGAACAGAATAGAACAGAATAGAACAGAATAGAACAGAATAGAACAGAATTCTTCATTGGCCAAGTGTGATTGGAAACACAAGACCTGCAGCCTACTTTTGCCCACACGCCGTGACAGCTATTGCTCCCTGCCTTCGCAATCAGTGAAGCTTTGCAAGCAAGCTCCGGTCACCTACCTGTCACTGCTAGTCACCTCCCCCCCCCCCACTTGCCAGAGAACACATGGAGCAGCTCCATGTCAGCTCCAGCCAGGTCAATGGCTGCTTCTCTCCCCTGCTTGTCTAGTTGGGAAAGTGAAAGAGTCTTTCTTGGCATAGTGAAATTTAGCGTATTGCTGTACAAGGAAGACTCTGCCACTTCCCAGCAAAAGAAGCAGGAGAACATGTGGAGAGGCTCATGTTGGCTCCAGCTGGCTTTTCTTCCTGCTGGTCTAGCTGAGAGAGCAAGAGTCTCTTTCCTGGCATAGCAAAATTTAGCTTTGGGTCCTGCAAGTCCCCATCAGGAAACAGCTTTTGGTGGTAGAGCAGCAGCCAGGTTGAATCCTGTTCCTCTCTGCCACCTGGAGCCATTTCCCGAAGGGAGGGAGACTTGCAAAATTCAAAGCAGCAACTCCCAGTTGCTAAAGTAAATTTTGCTGTGCTGCACAAAATGGTTTCTGTCGTGTCCGTCGCGGAAAGAGACTCGGAGCCAGTGACTTAGTTTCAGCTCTTTATTTGCTCCGAGATCGGCTCGGCTTGAAAAGGGAAAAGCGGCGGCTTTTATTCCTTGGCCGTGGCGGCCGCGGCCAATGGCACCACTTTGAATCTCCCGCGATTAGTTTCCACCAATCGCGGGGGATTCGCGGCGGGCCAATCAGTGCGGCTCGCTCGGCCAATCAGCTCGCCGTGCGTCTTGACCAATCACCGCGCGGCGTTTACAAGTATGTAAATGACTGTACAGAACAGTTTCCCAAGGCCCTGAAGTCCATTCTCCCAAAGCATCGCCACCACCACTCTGAAGCTCCCCTTTGGGATGGATCAGAAAGTTCTTGCTTTGTTCCCTGGAAATGGCTCCGTCATGGAGGGTGTGTCTTTGGGCCAGGCACTTTCTGTCAGGCCTCCTGCCTCGCATGGGGTGGCAAGAGGAGGAAGTGTGTGGTGAGAAAGGTTGTCTGCAGTTCTTTCAACCAAAGCCTGGAATCCTAGGGTGTCTGCAAATTTAGTCAGAGCCCCATGGCTGCACTGACTGGGAGTACACTTGCCCCTTCTCAGGTATTCACACAGAGCATGGACACATGAAGTTGGGACCTTATGTGCATGGGCGAGTTATGTGTGCATGGTGCTCTTTGTGTGTATGCCCAAGAAGGAGGAGAAGATTTGCTGAACTCCCTTCGCAGCACGAAGGCGGCCATCAAAGCCTGTCCCTTTAAGGTACCTCAAGGCAAGGGTAGTGGTGAGGGGGGACCATAAAGGGACAGTCAAGCCACAGGAGCTGTCTTCTGAGTAGCTCTACTGCAAAGGGAAGGGAAGGAAGAAAAGTTTGGCAACTCTTCTCCTCCTTCTTGCGTAGAGCATGCACACACGGCACTGGGAGGATATTCTACAAGGAGATGGCACATGGACGAGACCCTACAGCACTGTGATATGTGTGAGTTTTTTCTCGCCCATCCCAGTCACATGACTGGGATGCCTAGCTATACCCACTCCAGTCACATGACTACCAAGCCACACCCACAAATTATGCCATGCCCACAGAACCGGTTGTTAAGAAATTTGAATCCCACTCCTGATATATGAATACCAATTCATGTCAATCCCTCGTTCATTTAGTTCTTGTTTTGCTTTGAGTTCACTCCTTTCATTTCAAACCTCTTTATATCTAACAATATTTCTCATTTTAAAAACATTTGGATATATAAACACTTCCATCATCAATAGCCAGACTAGTATCTTCATATAGTGTTATTCCCTTATTTTCTTCCATATTGACAATAAAGCATTTCTTACGTAATGTCTTTGAAAGTAACCATGCACCTTATTCTTCCCATACTATAAAAAGGTGTGCCAGCTCAATTGTAAGTCATGCCCTTCCAGTGTCAATAATCTTGTATTTCTTAACACAATCCATTCTTTCATTCACATCAATACCACAGACTGATCATATAATTCCCAATTGGGTAGTCCAAACCTTCCTCTATTTCTTGCATCCTGTAACAATTTTAGTTTAATCCTTGCTTTTTTCCCTGCCATATGTATTTTAATATTATTTTATTTAAATCATCAAAATATTTTTCTCCAATTTTATTGGAATTGTTGAAACAGATATAATACTCTTGGTAGTATATTCATTTCAATTGTCATTATCTTCTCTATAAATGATAATTGTAGATTTTTCCATTTTTCCAAATCTATCTTAATCTGTTGTTTTAATTTATAGTAGTTATCTTCTTTAATTGTCCCACATCTTGCTCTTAATTGAACAACCAAATATTTCACTTTCTTTGTAATCCAAATATTTAATCCATCCAGTAATTCTCTTTTTTGTTTTTCTATAATATTTTTCATATTCTATAATATTTTTAATATTCACTAATGTTTTTGTGTCAGAGATATCATTGTTCTTTGTTAATGAAGAGAAGCTGGGAGATTTTTTGAATTTACCCCATGATTTGCAGGTGACCATTGCACATGATGTGCACCAGAGAATTCCCAGTATCCAATTGCCTCAGTAACAATTCATGGGTTTTCCCTGTTTAAATGAAAGGCTCGTTTGTGCATAATCCCCATTTCTTGTTATAACCCTAGTCTACATATAAATTAAGATGACCATAAAGATAAATACATAATTAATTTCATTTAAATAGTTTCTTATCCTATCTTCGTTAACTTCTTCCTTTTTATATAACTCTTCAAAATACTTATGGGCAATTTCTTTTTTCTGTTCTATCTCCTGTTGTATATCCCTCTTTCCATCTCAATCTCTTTTCTTTCCTTTTTTAAAGTCTGTATGATAGCCATCTCCCTGGCTTATTGGCATACTCAAAATAAGTTTGTCTAGTTGTATTCAAATTTATAA